AAAAAAAAAGAAGTACTTAGGAGGTTACCTTATTAACGGCTTGGGCAAAACTACTCGTTGAAGGAAGATTGGCAGCTATTGTACCCATCTGAGGCCGAAAAGGCGAGCAATGAGCCGCTGTTTGACGTGCACGTTTGGCCTCGTGTGGGAAACTTTCATCAGCCAAATATGAGTCGTACTCATGCGGGCGTTTCAACGCTAGACCGCATGCCATCCCTGACCTAAAAGAGGGGATCTTTGGTTGGACAATTCAGGAAGCAAGAAGAGCATCAAACGACCGTTTGAGGTGGAGCTGGCGAATGGTATAAGAGTAAGAAGAATAAATCATTGCTGGTAAGCACGAAATGATAGCAGTACGTCGTGAGAGTAATGAATTGGTTTATAACTTGTATGATTAAAGAAATTGACAGTTGCGATGAATCAACCAAATTCAGGGGTTAAAGGAGAATTGGTTTTCTTCACAAATGGGTTGGACTTACGGATAGCTGACTGCTGTGGAGCTCACAAACACAAATTCACTTTCATTTTTATTTGAAAGTAAAGCAGTATCCTTTCTGTTTGAGTTACTTAAAAATAAACTCATTCTCGAATTTTCCGTCCACGTAGATTACTTTTTATAAGACAAGAGATACAATCAATACAAATGCCATCACAACTAAAGCATATTCACATCCAAACTCGTACAACTTTTCCATCATGCCAAAAGGAGTTTTTACCGGTTCCGATCATCCATCTATCTTACCTGAGAAATATCACCAGACACACTACACAAACAAAAGCGCGTTTGGCAATTTGCTTCCAACTTTTATAGAACAATGACTCTCCTAACATTCTGAAGAGATTTGAGTGGATGACAGAACATATGCACAAGATTCAACGGTGTCAAAAAGAGTTTCAAAGACTTGTTATAACTTAGTACAAGACTAGTAAAATAGATTGTGACAGGCTTAGAAAGGAAGCACAGCAGCATCATCACGCCAGAATTTGCGAAAATGGGGAAAATTGAAAACCTCCCCCCTCCTTTTCGCTATAAAAAGAGAAAAATGCTCTAGGCTCTAGAAATGTTCCAACACATATGATTGTGCTCAATCAAGTAATCAAGTACTACTTTAAAGCGGTTATTTTATGCTCAACGAAAAACCATATTTGACCCATGTAATAGAAGAGCGAACTGCAGGAGAAGACTACTCCTTTATCCTGAACTTAGGCAGCTCACCAAACAATGGGTTTAAAAGCTCAACAACAAACCCATAGGAAGCCACCCATACAACGAACGAATGACTCGACGCAAAACTAACGACTGAGCACCAATCGATAATTATGTTCCACACGACGCCGCGTAGCCCCATCACAATCGTTTTCTACCGTACCCTGCGAATCTTGTCGATTGGAGCGAGATTCAAATTCTCGATGTTGATTGAGTCTTTATGAGTGGTTTGTTTTAGCTATAGCTGGATTATACTGAGGAAGTACACACGTGGCACATATAACCGTTCTTTCCCAACTAAGCTTAATATAGTTAATAAAGTTAAATATTGAGTGACGTAAGTCAAATGGAACTGTAGTCCTAGTATTACGTGAATCTTTAGTGCTACTCCAACACTTTAATCGAATATTTCTTATAGGCACTACCCTTGATAACTACGGAATTTCAGAACCATTGGCGCGAAAAGGCCTTTTTAGAGCGTAGAAGTCCCATATTGAGGCAGACAACAATGCGCGAGTAGAGTTGTTCCACTTTTTTAACAGACACTAGCAATAACAAAAGATATAAATTCTGATCTTTTCCTTGAGTATCCCAAAATGGAACCAAACTCCAACCAAAGCTATGGAGACACATTCAGTCACTCTTTTACAAACAAAAACTCCGTAATAACGGACAGAACTTCTTTGTTGTGAAATGTATAAGTTTAGAATTGAGATCGAACACTGGCCCTGCAACGTTACTTACAATTACGCCGCTTATCCAAAAAAGGTGGTGATTCGAAATAATGAGAGAGATGTATTTGAGCTTTTGGGTAAGAGACGCGTCATAGCGGAAAAAATCGCAAATGTAGATAAGCTTGGTTTCTCCCTAAACAGTCTTTCAGACAGACGAAGTAGCACCAAATTTGCGCCGATTGGTTACGAAAGTTTTTTCTTTCTCTCAACGACGACCTCGATAAAATGTTCGGATATGAATATTGGTAATCATATTGAATCTATTTATAAGGATCCACTGGCCATTTCATATTTAAGAAACATCAGTGCGTCACATCCCTATTAGATATGTTATGTAATGCGTACTTGCTTAGAAGTCATCTATCAAATTTGTTACAGATGCATTGTTTATGTTTGTGTGATGTATTGCAAAATGCTGATATTGCATCAACATAGTAAACATAAGCTACAGGTCTTTCTTATCAAGCTTTTTAAGTAATTTCACACCAAAGCGCAAACACCATACTTACAAACATGAAGCGTGCTGCGTGTTTCAAATTTTTCGATAAGACTCCGTCCATAGCTGACGATGGGAGATATGGCGGGCGCTGGCGATCACCGACCTCTTGGCCTTCTCTGGCGTCAAGAGGAGTC